TGTGAGGGTAGGGTTGAGGCATCCACCAGGATTCTTCCGTTCCTGCTGCGGTGCTACTGGGTCTTCTACGTTTCCTTGATTACTGGCCAGAGCAGCTTAAGCTCCTGAAGGCTTTTGCACTGGAGGTTCCTAACCGTGGCCCACACATCTGGAGACTGGCATTGACCTATCGGTTGCTGGGCTTTTTATAGGTTTCTGTGTTCAGATTGGGCCCACCAGGGTAATCATCATCCATAACATCAGTTCCTTCTGCAAAGTCCTTCTCAATGGTATGCAGATTCTAGGGATTAGGGCATGTCTGGGGGCCAGGGAGTGCATTCTGCCTACCACAGATAATATGTAGTAATACAACTGCCTACTTTTTGGTACAGTTTATAAGGTGAAAAAGAATATGTATTTGCTTGTGTAAACCTAGGATTGATAAGAATTATAACTACTTAAAAATAAAAGGTACCGGGGCTGAGGAGATGGCACAGTAGTTAAAAGCACTGATTGTTCTTGCAGAGGATCCAGCAAGAACCCACATGGTGGCTAACAACTGAAGGCAACTCCAGTTCCAGGGGATCTGATGCTCTCTTCTGACTGTTGCAGGCATTGCATGACTCAGGTGCATCTACATACATGCAGGTAATACTCTCATACACATAAAATAAAAATAAAATATTTTTTAATAAACAAAATGTGCTGATGGATAATTACAAATGACTGATTCTCCTTTGGATGTGGAGAGTGAAATTGGGCATCTGCTCCATCAGGGCAGTTGGTCACCATCACTGACTTTGTGACATATGCCCATCATTTGCTGTTTCTGCTCTCATACAGGTGGCACACTGGTATTTTTCCTGTTTTGAATCTTATACTATCTTTCTGAGAACCCTGCCAAGTTAATCTTTTGAAATGTTTTGTTTTTATCTCTTATTTAGAAATGTGGCCTGTGCTTTACTTCCTCAGGCAGCCAAGGCCTCTTAGAGTCTGTCCTCAGTGACCATCCCTCTGAGCTGTCTTTACCTCCTTGCCTTTTCCCATAAAGGCTATTCTTCCATGCTGAACAGGGACGCAGGGTGAGGCAATTGCAACATAAAGGCTATTCTTAAACTTGTTCTCTGACCTCATTCAGATGGCTAATCTCAGTCTAGTAGCTTTCCAGCCCTTTTTCCTTCCCAAGACATCACATTGTTGCTCCCTGCACCATCCTCTTGCCACCCTTCAAAGGAGCCATTCCTCAACCTCTTTTTGCCCTCTTAAGTACCTTCAGTGCTCATGGTTCTGTGCTGCAGAACCTGGATTTCACAGAGTGCTGGCCTGTAAGACTGAGTATAATGCCCTCAGAGGATGCCCTACTTTTTTTTTTCACTCACCCTGGCCATCTCATTGCTCTTAGAATCTACCCTGCATGCCTCTACCCTCCCCCCTTAACTTTGCTTCTACCACTCTTTCCCTTCCTCATCTTTAGGTCATTTGCTGTATTAGTTACTTTTCTGTTGCTATGATAAAACACCATAACTTATAGTAAGAAGAGTTTATTTGAGCTTAAGTTTCCAGGTTCCAGAGGGACTAGAGTCCATCATGGTGGGCAGGCATTGTAAGGTGTTTGGAACAGGAGCAGAAAGCTAAGCCCTCACATCTTCAAGCAAGCACAGGAATCCGGGCACAGCTGGAAATCCAGCAAGACTTAAGATTTTTCAAAGCCTAGCCCCAGTAACACACTTCCTCTAGCAAGACCACACCTCCTAAAACAGCAACACCAGCTGGGGACAAAATGTCCAAATACTTGAAATCTATGGGGGACATTTTCATTCAAATCATAACACTCCACTCCCTCGCCCCCATAGGCTCATGACCATATAAAGTGCAAAATGTATTTAGCCCATCTTTAAAAGTCTCCATAGTTTTGGGTGGGTGTGGTGGCACATGCCTTTAATCCCAGCAGAGGCAGGCAAATCTCTGTGAGTTCAAGGCCAGCCTGGTCTACATAGTGAGTTCCAGGCCAGCTGGGGATACAGGGCGATCCTGTCTCAAAAAGGTCAAAAAGAAAAAAAAGGGAAAAAAAGTCTAGTTTTTATCAATCTCAGTTCTGTTCAAAAGTCCAGAGTCCAAAGTCTCTTCTGAGACTCAAGTCAGTATCTTAACTGTAAACCCCTATAAAATCAAAAGACAAATTACATCTTTCCAACATACAATGGAACCAAAAACACATTTCCCATTCTAAATAGGAGAAGGCATAGTGAGGAAATACTGGACCAAAAGAAGACTGAAAACCATCAGGGCAGACACCAAATCCAGTAGCTCCATGTCTGACTTCTGGGACTTTACTTTCAAAGGGCTTAGATGGCTCATCCCTTGCAACTTTGCTGTGTGCAACACATCTCTCTCTTGGGCTGGTACCATCCCTGTATGCAGTTCACCTTGGCAGATGTCTCATAGCTCTGGCATCTCAAATGTCTTCTTAGGGTCTCACTGCCAACCAGGCTTCACCTTCACAACTTCATGCAATGCCCTATCAGGGCCTCTTGTCCTGTCACAGCCTTCTTTATTCAGGAACACCCCTTCTGTACTCTGTGGCCTGGCCAAGGCTGCTCTATGAAACTTTGGAGGAAGAACCAATGACTCCTTCATTCATGCATCTTCCATGCATCCAAAGCCAGCACCATGTGAATGACACTGCCAAGTTTGGCTGTCAACCTGGAATGGACCCTGGCCTGCCTCATCTACATTACCATGCTGTGGTTTTCTAGGAGCAGAAAACCCCTTTCACAAGTTTGGGGCTTCACTGGGTGTGGTCTTTTCCTAAAGGTACTCTTTCCATTGTTTAGGCACAAACCTCTAAGCCTTTCCTTAATTGCGCTAATCTTCTTATCAAAAAGTTCCTCTCCTTCAGCACATATCTTGGCTCCAACATTAATCTTCCTTGTGCTCTTTTTCAATCTAAACTGTATATTAAGCATTTCTTTATACCCCATTTGTTCTTTTTTACTGTAGATCTGCAAAATAGTCACCATTAACAGCCATGCCACCAATTCAGTGTTAGGCTGTCTTGAAATTTCCTCCACCAAAGAAATTAGCTTATTGCTTTTCAACTTAGCCTCAGGCAAACTCTTAGGCTGTGGGCAGATAGCAGCCAGATTCTTTGCCAAAATAACCCAGTTGCTGCTTAAGCCCTTATTTCTCTGAAACTACATTGTTTTCAGCACTGCTTTCTTCCAGACTCCTACTAGAATGGCCCATTAAGCTCTGCTTTTAGCACTCGATGGATGGCTTTTTCTAGTCCAAACTTCCAAAGTCTTCCACATTCCTCCAAAAACTTACATGGTCGGGTTCTTCACAGCCAATAGCCCACTCTCTGGTACCAACTTCTGTATTAATTACTTTTCTGTTGCTGTGATAAAACATCATGACCAAGGAAAGTTAGAGGAAGAAAGTTTGAGCCTATGGTCCCAGGTTCCAGAGGGATTAGAGTCTGTCTCCATCATGGTGAGACCTACTTTTACTACCTATATTAGTTACTTCTCTGTTGTTGTGATAAAACCCTGTGACCAAGGGAACTTGGAGAAGGAAGAGTTTATTTAGCTTATAGTTCCAAAGGGGCAGGAGTCCATCATGGTGGGGAGGGATGGCAGCAGAGGTGGCCAGAGCAGTAAGAGGAGTGCTCCCATCTTCAAGCAGGCACAGGAAGCAGAAAGGAACTGAAAATCTGGCAAGGCTAAAGAATTCTCAGATGCACTTCCTCCAGCAAGGCCACACCTAAAACCTTCCAAAACAGTACCACCAACTGGAGACAAAAATTTCCAAATACATGGAGCCTATGGGGGACATTCTCATTCAAACTACCACACTACCCTAGTTAAAATATCCCTTCTCCTTCAATCCTGTCTTGTCCAGAGTAGATGTCCCATCTCACTGATGCATTTACTATGATCTTTTATCCTAGAAAACTCCAAACACTCTTAAAAACACTCTTAAAAGAAATGTGTACCCAGCCAGGCGTGGTGGTGCACACCTTTAATCCCAGCACTTGGGAAGCAGAGGCAGGTGAATTTCTATGAGTTCAAAGCCAGCCTGGTCTACATAGTGAGTTCCAGAGCAGCTGGAGCTACAGGGAGACCCTGTCTCAAAAAACCAAAAAAAAAAAAAAAAAAGGAAAAGAAAAGAAAGAAAAAAAGAAATGTGTACACGAGAGAACTCCAGTTCACATGTTGAGAGGCATTATCTGCTTGAGGTTTCTGCCAAGATTTCCTACCTTGTCTTCTCCACTCCTCAGATGATACATGTTGGAGTACAGGAAGGGCTGAGGCATGTCAAGCCCTGCTCCCTAGTAGGTTCCTGGGCAGGGTGTGAGTGGTGAGGGGACAGGGCAATCAGGAACTCATCTATGTGAAGGGCCCATGTGCTTCTAGGTGGGAGTGTCCCATCTCCTGCCCAGAGGGAGTAGTTAAGACTGGAGATGAGCCGAGGATTAGGAACCCTCACAGGATGATGGGTGTTGCCACCTTGGACCAGACAAAATCACCAAGAAGTTTGGTGCAGAAGTGAACCCTTGGAACAAAAAAGGAAATGAGATGGCTTTTGGTACAGTGGGAGGGAATTCCAGGAGGGTAGAGATGAATACCTATCATGGCTGCTGCCAGGTATATCTCAGACAAACTTGATTACTAGGATAGACAAGCACTGAGTATGATGGCTGTTGTGTCCACAATACCAGTTGTTTTTGACTGCTCAACTTTTACGGCTACAGCAGTGTCAGGAGCTAGAATGAAGAGGAGTGGGCCCATAACAGAGAGCAGGCCTTGTCAATTCTGGTCTCCTCATTATGGCAGTCCAGGGCCCTTAAGTGGTATGCTTTGTGGACAACAGTGGCTCACTTTACCTTGGGGAACAGCATCTTACCATATTATACCTATGATCCAAGGTAGAGGAAGAATCTCTTTGGTAGGAGAATGGATTGCTGAGGCTAGCCTCTGTGTCCACTCACTTGTGTCCTTGCTGGTCTTCAGGTTCCAGCTATGCCCAGCCTCAGAGTGTGCCCCAAGAAGGCAGAGGTGAAGCCCTCAGCTCCAGGACCATCCCCTTGGACTCTTGCAACACAGGCCTGTGTGAGTGATACTCCTGCTATGACCCACTCTGAATCTTCAGTCTGTGGGCCCCTCTGCTGTCACATTGTTGAGCGGGAATCCATCTACCCTCACCATCAGCAGCCAGGTACTTGGAACTGGTTCTCCACTGGTGCTCTCATTCTGGGATGATGATGTCCACATTACCCTAATCTTGCCCTTAAGGAGGAATCATCTGTGTTATACTTCATGCATGGACTCAAGAGGCCAAGGTTGGATGTCAGAAGGGAAGTTGACTTCTCTTAGCCCCTTGTACCCTAAGTAGGACACAGATTTCCCTCTTGACACAGAAAGCTGTGCATAGTTATCAAAATCCTTTGCTTTGCCCTACCGGCCTAACCCTGCTAAGTCCAAAAACTAGTTTGGTGACACCTCCTGCCTCATGACTCTATCCTGCTTCCTCCCGGCTACATTCACATTGCCCAGTTGCTCCTATCCCACTCAACCCTTTCAAAGAACCCTTTGCAAAGACTCCTCACCAGCTCACCTATGGACTGCAGCAGTGAACAGGATGACTTCTTAACATTAGCTTCCCTTACTCAGGTCAGACAGCACCTATTTTACAAGGGAACACACCAGTCAGACCCTTTGTGGACAGAGGTGGTTAGGCTAAGGGTAGAGATGGTGCATTACCATGTAGATATGACCAAATAGGCTAAACGGAGTATACTGTAAACTGAAGGGGGAGGCAGGTAGAAGATGAGAGATATGAGGTCACTAGAAGTAGCCCTGGGAAACAGGCCTGCTGACCAAGCTGAGCAGAGGCAGGATGTTAAGTAGCTTTCTAAGAAACCCTTATTAGGAATGTTAAATAGAGAAGGATAAGGAAATCCAAGACCCTGGGAACTTGTGCCGAAAGGAACTCATATTCTAAAACCCACTGTGGAAGAAATTAGCAAGGTAGACATCTCCAAGTAACCTGTTCCCCCACATAAACATTTAAAAAAAAATTTTTAATTGTCAGAACCTAATTTGTCAGAAATCTGGAAAATTGTCAAAGATGTGAGAACCAACTAAACACTAGATCAGAACAAGGCAACTCTAAAGCAGAAGAAGTGCTTTATTATGTTCATACTTTCCTGTGCACCAATGCATTTCCCTGCTTGTTGGCAATGTGACAGCAGGCCACCTGTATTACCAGTGTAGGACCTTGACCCTTATTTCGAAAGGGAATGGAGCAGATTTTGCTCAGAAATTATTGTGTTGATTCTAACCTGTTTGGGCCTCCTGAAAGGACTGCTACAAGATGTTTATTTCTGTTCTGCCTAACTTAACCTAGGACAGGAAAACAGTCAGTTCAAAAACATTGTAAATCTAAATGAAACCATCTGGTTTGTTGGCTATGGTTATGTGTATAGTAAGCTACCAAGAGCCTAGGAAGAAAAGCTGAGAAGAGACTTTCTTGGGAGAAATGAGGGAATTTCAGAAGCATAATTAGGGAATTTAGAAAGGTACACTCATGCCCAGGATATAGTATGAGCTCAGAAAAAACCTAGGCTGTAAGTTTTCAGCTCCAGCTGATTGCTAGGCTTTCAGAAAAACTGAGACATTATTAACAATGTTAAAGGAGTTCCCCTAACCAGAGCCAGTTTACACACTGGGAAAGGAATTTTAAGTTCCTTTGATTCTTGATGTTTAAGGAAATCTTTTGAAACCCTAGCTGAGAGCTGATTATGTAACTCAGTGTTAGGCACAGTACTGAGTTCAATTCCCAGCAGTGCAAAAAGGAAGTGAAAAAATAGAGGCTGGAAAGTTGGCTCAGTGGTTAAGAACCCTGGCTGCTCTTGGAGAGGACCTGGGTTCAGTTCCAAGCACCCACATGGTGGCTAACAACCATCCATAACTCCAGTTCCAGAGGAATCCAGGGCCCTTTTCTAACCTCCATAGGCAATGCACTCATACACATAAAAATAATAAATAAAATATTAAATAAATAAAACCTGCCCACAATGTCTGAAGATGATATGTGGGGTCATAACAATGTACCTGATAAGGAACAGCTCTTGTACAAATAATTTAGAAAAATCACCAAATGAAAAGACTAGTGTAGTCTTTAACAATCAAGAACAGTGAACCTTAGCTGGAAATGGTAGTCCATGCCTTTAATCCCAGCACTTGGGAGGCAGAGGCAGGCAGATCTCTGTAAAATTAAGGCCAGCCTGTCTACATAGCAAGTTCTAGGCCAGTTGGGGCTACAGAGAGACCCCATCTCAAAAAAATTTTAAAAAAAAAGAATAGTGAACCTTAAAAGGGAGAGACTCACTTACCACATTATGCTATTCAAATGTCAAGTTTTTTAGCAATTCAAAAAAACCTAGATATTAGACTTAGTAGACAAAGACTTTAAGTCAACTACCTGAAATGCATCCAAATAGCTAAAAGAAACCATGAACAGAGATTAAATGATCCAAGAAAGCAAAAATGTGTGAATGAAAAGGACTATCAGCACCAGGTGTGGTGACACTCACCTTTAGTCCCAGCACTCAGGAGGCAGAGGCAGATGGATCCCCTGTGAGTTCAAGGCCAGCCTGGTCTACAGAGTGAGTTCCAGGCAGCTGGAGTTACAGAGAGACCCTGTCTCAAAAACACGAAAAAAAAGAAGAAGAAGAAGAAAAGGGACTATCAATAAAGTATGATTTAAGGGAAAAAAAAAAAGAAGCATAAATTTTAGTACCAAAAAGTACACTGAAATGAAATGAAAAATTCACTAGAGAGTTTCAGCAGCAGATTTGATTGGGCAGGGAGAAGAAAAAAATGAAGAAATTTCATGTTAGAATGGTAAAATTGTCCAATTTGATGAGCAAAAAGAAAAAGGTTCAAAAAGTGAGCAGAATGTAATGGACTTGTGGGATACCATTCAGTACACCAATATATGTATTTTGTATACCCAAGAAAGAGAAGAGAAAGAATAAAAGAAAATGTCATAATGGTCAAAAATATCCCAAATTTGACAAAAACCTCAATTTACAGACAAAGACTCAACAGTTTATTTACTTATTTATTTAAATAAATTTAAAGAAATCCACACAAAATTTAATTATAATTAAACTGATGAAAAACAAAGAATTTGAACATACTAAGAGAAGGGGTATTTGGTTATTACCACAGTTTAGTGGGGAGTGATGGCTCACACCTGTAATCCCAGCACTTGAGAGGCAGAGGTAGGAGGATCACTGCAAGTTCAAGACCTGCCTAAACTACAGAATCATATACGTTATCTCCAGAGGGGTAGAGGTCTAACAGATTATTTTTCAGCAGAAGCCAAGGAGATCAGAAAACCATAATAGGAATACATATTTAAAGTGCCAAGAGGAGCCCTGTCAACCAAGAAGTATGTGAGCAGCATAGAAGAAAGATGACATCCCCAGATAAACAATAGCTTGGGAGAAGAGGGTGGCCTTCCTTCTAAGAAATGCTGAAGGGAATTGAGATGACAGGACTCTGGTAATTACATTAGTAAGTATTTAATGTTTGTTTTGTGAGTTCACTTTTGCTATTTTGTTTTGGTTTTAGACAAGGTCTCTTTTGTAGCCTAGGCTAGCCTCAAACTCATAGTCTTCTTGCCTCCACTTCCTAAGAGCTGGTCTTAAATGCATGTGCCACCACTCCTGGCTTTTTAAGTCCACCTTTTATTTCTCACAAAGAACAAGCGCATTTAAAAACAGCATGGCTATGGTGTTTAGTGTTGAGGATGGAACCCAACACCTCACTGTTGTGTGAAACTTCCTGGGGAGTCATGAACAAACATCTACTCACCCCAGATAGGCAACCAACAACAGACCAAAGTAAGGGTAGCACCGAAGTCCAACTTGGTGAACCAATGAGTTTTATTGGGGTTACACACAAGAGTATGGGTGAGGGGTTACTTACAGGAGCAGAAATGCAGACATCACCAAAAGCCCATCCCAGCATGGGTGACACCTCTTGAAAGCAGGAAACCTAGAACACACTGCGCAACCTGCAAGCAGCTCAACAGGTTGGAGAGTATCCTTTCCAGGTAGCTCTGTCAGTCTGACCTTCCTCCAAACTTGGCTGGTCTGAAAGTATCTCCCAGCAGTTCTTATATGCCTGCCTCAATAAATAAAGTGGAAGGCAATCAAGGAGGGGCCTAGTGAACCTAATCAGTTTCAGAGACTTTCTGAAGCTATTGAGTTGTTCCCTTAATGAGCTTTCCTGCACTATGGGCTGTTTCACACACAGCCCTCACTGTCTTTCTTTAGAACATCCTGTTGTGTAACTTTCTAAATTTAGAGCATCCTATTGTTTATCTCACTTCAGATATCATGTTGTTTAATGAGTTTCCCTCCAAAGTGGAAGGTTTTTAATCTCAAGAAATTGCTACACAATACTTAAATGTGCCAAATACACATTCCACCACCGGGCTATTCTCCTAGCCTAATAAGTCCATTTATTTGAGCCGAGAATACATAAAGATATAATTTGTTATCACAAATTATAAGAGTAACCGCTATATAGGGGAAGAAGTTTTGTATGCTCTCAAGGCTAGGTTCGTTTCAGTTGTTTTAGGATGTTTATTATAACCCTATGGTAAACACTAAATAAGCATCCTTTTTGTCTAAAAGGAGACAAAAAGGAGAAAATCAAAATGACACTGTATCAAAAAATAAACTGAATTTTTAAAAAAAGGTGGCAATGAAAGAATTAAAGAACAAGAACATGAAAATATACCAAAAACAGCAACATGGCAAAGGTCCTTCATTTTTAGTAATTGCTTTTTAAAGATTAAACTTTCCATCAATGCTGAGCCTTGTAGTGCTGACTTGTAACCCTAGCTACTCAAGAAGCTAAGGCAGGATCATAATTTCAAGTCCAGCATAGGCAACATAGTGAGAGCATATCTCAAAATAAGATGGCTGGGAAGATAGCCCAGTGGATAAAGCACTTGCCATGCAAGAGTGAAACTTGGAGTTTGGATCCCTAGAGAAAAGATCCCTAGAACCTACATAAAAGCTAGGCGGGCATGGTCACTGTCTGTAATCCCAGAACTAGGAAGCAGAGAGGGGTTCCCCAGGGCAAGCTAAGTAGACTAGTCTCAGCAAGAAGCCCTGCCTCAATATATAAAGTGGA